CACACACACACACACACACACACACACACACACACTCATCAATAAACCTCCTCCAAAAGATATAGACTAAAATTGATCAGGACAGTTTACATCTCAAAAAGAAAATAAAAACAACAATAATCTATCATAACTTCCTAAAAATAGTGATGTGGAGAAGAAAGGTTGCTTAACACATGACTATAATAATTTACGTTTCAAAGTTCAAAAACAAATTACACCAGAAAGCTTGTGCCACAAACTATTTTATCATTCTGTGCCTCGGTTTTCTCACTTATGAAACATTAATAATATCATTAATACTACTCCAAACATATCGTGAAAATGAATGAGATACAATTGATAGAATCACAGAGATCCTGGGTAATTGAATTACATGAGAGTTGAAGTCACTTTTGAAATCACTATTAACTAAAAGTCATATGCCTACTGAGTCATGTAGAGTCCGGTGTTCTAATATGAATAGTTAAGATTAAAGAGCAGAAAAGCACACAAAACAATCTCACATAGCTTAAGAGCTGTGTCTATCAGGAGCCCACACTGGAGGCAGACTGGAATGGATTTATCCAAAGTTAGGGGTTAGCAGAACCAAAGGGGTGGGATAAAAAGAGAATGAGAATGTTAATTAAGGCTGCCATGAGAAAGTAGCTTAAGGTACTAATTAATGGAGGGGAAACTGGTGAGGAAAGGAACCATGCAAGGGAGTTATTAACCAAAAGAAAACGGAGGGAGGGCTATTATAATAGAGGTATTTGATGCTATCCCTCATCTCCACCCTTACCCATCTCATTCAAACTCCCAGAAGTAGGGCCCAGAAATTTTGAAAAAGCCTCCTGGGTAAATCTGATATATACGTGTAAATAAGAACCACTGGAATTGAAGCACTGATGAGTTTTGTTTTATTTTTTTAAAGCAAGTATGTTGAACATATTAGGAAAGTGTGGTCAGTGCCCCTTTTCTGGCACTTAAAAATTAAAGGTTAAACTTGAGGGGGCAAGGCTTAAGGTATAGCTTTTGAAGGGGTTGGCTAACTGAAAGAATAATAACAGCATATAGTATTAAATAGATACATAATATTAATAATCTTAATAGATAACATTTATAGACTGCTTACTACGTGCCAGTTATTTGTAATTAATAACAGAAAATAATTTACATTACTTTCTTATTTAATCTTCACATAATCCCAAATGTACAGCTACCATTATCCCCAATTTACAAT